TTAAAAAGGGACCATCTAGGCATCTACGCTAAATCTAAAAATTTAAGAGAAATTACAAGCCAGTAAGTAGAGATTGTGTCATAAGATATGTGATCTCACAATAGGCTTCATGCCAATGATCATGTGCCAGTGTGCATTGATCATATGGGCTTCCTCAACATCTCCCTTTCGTCAATTGTGGTTATTCTAGAACGTTTGCTTTCTTCCCGTTTTTATAACTTAACATGAAAATTCATGAATAAGGCCAAATATCAGATGAGCCATACCCCTCTAGAACAGGGGTGAGTTGGGGATTGAGTCAGTTCCCCTGTTTTGTATAGATTCTGAAAAATACAGATCAAGAAAATGATTAGCCAGCACAAGTCAAAAAGTTGGTACTTATACATACATCCACAGCATTTGTACATAACATTATGTTAGGTGAAAATTTCAGAATTTGAGATATGAAATGAAAACTAAAAATACAAAAACAAAAGACTAACATTCTCTGAAGCTGCCATCCCCCAAACAAACAATAATAAAAAGCAAAAAGATCAACTTAAATTAATCCAGATAAAAGAACATGTTGATAATCCGTCCAGAAATTAAAAAAAAAAAAAAATGTGATAATGTATTAAAGCAGCTTATTTTGAAATTGAATTTCAAGCTCTATATCAAGAAAAAGCTTTAAAAAGTTTATAAAACTGACAAATAAGTAATACTACAGCAGTCTATTTTGTGGTTCTTCTTCAACTAACTTAACTCCTTTTTTATATATGGACACTGATTGGTACACACTCTAGTTCATTACACTGCACAACAAACTCTTCAAAAAATCATTATTTCTTGGTTTGAAAAAGGCAAACAAACTTAAAGATGCAGTTATGCACACATAATGCAAGAACCGGTTTAATCGGTTTTACTTATATTATACTTTTAATAGCTGAAGCGTACAAGTATCAAAAAGTGTGTTGAACTGAGTGTATACCAATCATTTTCCCTTATATATAGAACTAATTATACTTATAATAGAAAGTTTTGTTTCATGTTCTAAAAAAGACACTAATATTAGCAGAGTAGAAACTTATAAAGATCAGTGCAGCTAAAATCCTCAGGCAATTTCCCTCCTTTTCTCCTACCATGGGAAGCAAAAACTTACTCTGAAGTCTCACTCTAGTATGGTAACTGAAAAGTATCTGAACTTCATACAAATAACAAAAATCCTTCCTTCAAATAAGGGAATGCTGAATGAACACAGGAGTTGTAAAACCATTTCATTATCAAAATCTGCAGAAACACATCGTGATGATAACAATGAAGAAAATACCTAAATCCATCCATACTAGA